CTTTTGCCCACTTTTTGATAGGGCTGTTTGTTTTTTTCCTTTCACACGTTGGAGTTCCTTTTAGATTCTAGATGTTAGGCCTTTGTCAGATATACAGTTGGCAAATATTTTTTTTCCATTCTGTGGGTTGTCTCCCTACTCTCTTGATGGTTTCTTTTGCTTTGCAGAAACTTTTCAGTTTGATGAGATCCCACTTGTCTATCTTATCTCTTTTGGCATGGGCATTGGGGGTTTTGATCAGGGATTTGTTGCCCACATTTCAGGATTTGTCCATCATGAATAGATGGGCTTCATTCCTGGGATGCAAGACTGATTCAACATATGTAAATAAATTAATGTAATGCATCAGAAAAGCTGGTATAAAGCCACCGTATTATTAGATGCAAAAAATTGATAAAATACCACATCTCTTCTTGAGAAAAACTCTCAAACACCTAGGCATTGAAGGAATATTCCTCAAAATAATAAGAGCCGTCTATGACAGATCTGCAATCAACATTATACTTAGTGGGCAGAAGCTAAATGTATTCCCCCTAAGAACTGGAAAAAATCAAAGCTGTCTACTACTCTCTCCCTTCCTAGTTAACATAGCACTGGATGTCCTAGCCAGAGCAATCAGGCAGGAGAAAGAAATCTGGAATATTCAAGTAAGAAAAGAGGAAGTTAAATGATCCCTCTTTGCTGATGATATGATTCTATAGCTAGAAAACCCTAAAGAGTGTCAAAAACTTCTTTGCATTGGTAATTGTCTTTAGTAAGTCTTGGGATACAAAATCAGTGTGCTAAAAAAAGCTGCATTTCTATACAGCAAAAGCAAGCAGACTGAGAACCAAATGAAAAACAAAATCCTGTTCATCACACACACACACACACACACACACACACACACATACACACACATCCCTTGGCATCCATTTAACTAAAGAGGTGAAAGACCTTTACAATGAGAACTACTGAACACTACTCAAAGAAATCACGAGTGACAGATGTGAATGGAAGAACATCTCATGCTCATGAATTGGAAGAATCAATATCATCAAGATATTTCTCTCCAAGGCAATCTAGAGTTTCAACACAATCTCTTTCAAATTACCAGTATGGTTTGCACAGACCTAGGAAAGACTCTACAGAAATTCATACGGAAGTAAAAAGAGCCTGAATAGCAAAAGCAGTCCTCAGCAAAAAGAGCAAAGCTGAAGAAATGATACTTCTAGACCACAAACTTTACTACAAGGCCACATTAACCAAAGACATCATGATATAAAAATGACACCAAGACCAATGTAGCAGGACAGAGAATCTGAAAATAAAGCAATCGATCTTCAAGCAATTTATCTTCAACAAAACCAACATTGAGGAAAGGAAACTGTACTTAGCAAAAGTGCTGGAAAAACTGGCTAGCCACTTTCAGAAGAATGAAACTGGGTGACTGCCTATCACCATACACAAAAATTAACTCAAGATGGATCAAGAGCTTAAATGCGAAACTTCAAACTATAAGAATCTTAGAGGAAAACTTAGGGAACATGCTCGTGGACCACAGGGTAGGCAATGAATTCATGGCCAAGTCCACAAAAGCAACATAGCAAAAGCTAAGATTGACAGGTGGAACCTTATCAAGCTAAAAAGTTTTGCACAGCAAAAGAAGCCATCAAGAGAGAAAAGAGACAACTCACAGAATGGGAAAAAGTATTTGCAAGCTGTGCATCCTTGAAAGGTCTAACATCCAGGATTTATAAGGAACTCAAGCAAATTGATAGAAAAAAATTACCCCATTAAAAAGTGGGCAAAGTGCATGAACAGACATTTCTCAAAGGAAGATATTCAGTTAGCCAACAAACATGAAAAAATGCTCAACTCCTCTAATCATCAGAGAAATGCAAATAAGGTCGCAATGAAATACTATGTCACACTGGTCAGTATGGCTATCATTAAAAAGTCAAAAGCAACAGGTATTGGTGTAGCTGCGGAGAAAAGAGAATGCATCTACACTGTTGGTGGGAATGTAAGCGAGTTCAACCTTTGTGGGAAGCAGTATGGCATTTTCTCAAAGAACTAAAAGTTGAAAAATTCCAGCTTCTGGGAATATATGCAGAGGAACATAAATCGCTCTACCAAAAAGACACCTGCACATATATGTTCTATTCACAATAGAAAAAACATGGAGCCAATCCAGATGCCCATTGAAAGTGGACTGGATAAATGCAATGTGGTGCATATACATAATGGAATACTACACAGCCAGAAAGAAGAGCAAAATCATGTCTTTGCAGCAATATGGATGCAGCAGGAGACCATTATTCTAAGTGAACTATCACAGAAAAGAAAAAAACCTGAATACTGCATATTCTCACTCATAAGTGGGCCTTAAACTTTGGGCACGTGGGCACAGAGGCAGGAACAACTGACATTGCACTGCTAATGCAGAGAGGAAAGGAGAGGAGATAATGGGTACACAGCCACCCACTGGGTACCACATCTGCTATCAGAGGGACAGAGGGCTCGTGAGAAGCCCACATATCACCTGCACACAATTCACCTATGTAGCAAATTCTCACATTTACTTCACAATTCTAAAAAACAAAAAGTATTTAATATCTATTTTCTTGCATATATATATCCTTGAAAAAATGCATATTTTTATCTTGAGTGCTTTTTTATGTATAGTTAGACATCTTTTCATGTTTGAAAAAGACAGAGGTGCTATAAAAATATTAATGTCAACCAAAATCAATGTCAAGGAAATAGTGTAATTATATTATCATTAGATCATTCTTAATGGTGAAAGTTGTGCTTCACTTGGATGTAAGATTCATGAACCTTTGTTACCTATCAAAAATAGCTGCTCAAAAGTAAAACTCAATTAGAGAAGTCTAAGGATTTGTACTAACCCAATTATAGTGAGAAATTTTAATGCTACTTTTTCAGAAAGATTAAGAACCAAAATGAGTAGGAATATCTAAGCACAACTTAAAACCCTGGGCTACATGTATCTGCTACAGACAAAGCTGGACTATACTATCTTTTCAAGCAACCATGGAACACTTTTCAATACTGATCACATGTGAGGACACAAAATCTCAAATCAAAGCAAAGAATCAATTTTCTAAAGACCCCTTTCTGTAATTATACTTTTAAAAAAATTAGGAATCAACCATTTGTCAAGGTAGCTTTGGAGATTTTTTATACTCCTCAGCAGGAAAGTGATATAATTACCAGCTCTTAGTAACAGCACTCAAGAAGTGATTTTAAAATGATTGAGTGGAAAACATTCCAGACTGACAAAAGAATGACTAAAAAAGCTCAAAAGGAAAATGAATGAAGATTAGATTAAGGAAAGAGGAGACCATATTTTTTAGAATAAGGGTTTTACCTCAGGAAGAAATAGGAAAAAAAAAAGCAAAATAACGGGAAAGCTACTGACTTTGGCTTTCACTTTATAATCTTTGAGAGCAGCACTGGAAGATATTAAGCAAGACAGTGAAATAAAGAAAAATATTTTTAAACTAGCCATTCTTTTCTTAATGTTGAGATTCTAGACTGTGGAAATTTAGGCCATTCTAAAAAAAGTTTAAATTCTGTGGTAAATAGAATTATAATAGTTTCAGCAGTTTACAAGCAAGCTTGACAATTATATTCCGACTTATGCTCAAAGATGGCACTGCACGTGAAGGATGTTTTTAATTTGTGTCATGATAACTTATTCCTCTTTATATTTCTGATGCCTAGCTGTAGTACCTAGATCGTAGAAAGCACTTAATAAATGCTTATTGCTAGCCGGGCTCGGTGGCTCAGCCTGTAATCCCGCGCCTTTGGGAGGCTGAGATGAGTGGACTGCCTGAGCCCGCGGG